GTTGGGTGGCGAGTGGTATGAAAGGCGTAACATTGTGCGGAGTGCAAATGTGTCATTCGGTGGGTGCGAACTTGGCAGTAGATATATCCATAAGATTCATTTGTGTAACCATGGTATAATGTAGGTAAATTACCTACACTAATTGTCATGAACCAAAAATACAAGATCACGTAAGAACGCGACGTTGTATTTGTAACTGGTTTTGAGAAAAAAGTTTGCGAAAGCGGGTTCGTCAGCTGAGCGTTTGTTTACATCACAAGCACCACTATTTTACACTTTTATTCAAGTAAAGAAGAGTTAATTCAACATGACAACACATTTTAAAGCATTTTGTTGCATCATTTTACCTAAACTGTGCGTTTAAAGTGACTGACAATAATTTTGGTTTTCGTTGTTTTCTTTGCTTTGTTTACTTTTCGCTCGTTATCCAGTGAAACAAGATGGCGTAGAACCCGCTAAAAAAATCGACTTTTTTCACTCTCTTGTTCTTACGTGATCTTATGTCTTTCGTTCATGGCAAATTGTATTGTGGATCGTATTCATCTAAAGCTTCCTTTACACGATCAATATTTTTTCTCCAAACCAGCAAGTTGCCCAAGCAAGTTGCCGAAGCAAGGTTTTATTTTTGGCCATAAATCGTGGAAAGTGCCTACCGCCACTAATTTTGGGGGTATAATTTAAATTTTTATTTAAATTCTCTATAAATGTTATATACTGATATTGCTTTACCGCCTTTCGGACCGTTTCAGAGCCAACCATGTAGCCTGCCCCCAAAAAGGTGAACATCCTACTGGGTGTGATTTTATTATTCATATCTTTATTTTTGAAACCGAATGTCGCATTTACCTTTGTATTTTACATAAAAATTTGTAAAATATCTGTTAAAACTAGGGCTTCGCTATTAGGTACTTTATTTCAATGCATTGTTTTGGTTTTTGTTTTAATGAAAAGGTATTTTGATGTAAGCATGGCCAGTAATTAACAATTTAATTGCAAAATATTCATATTTTTATGTAAGCCTGACCAGGTATTAAAAATTTACTTACAAAAATGATCGTTAGTATGGTCCACCCGTGTCAGTATAGCGAACTGTTGGGAAGTTGTCCATCATTGTTCGCTGCTTATGAGGTCCTTTATGTGGAACTGTTATGGTTCGCATACATTGGGGCAGAAGTGAATGCAAGCGGCATGACACAATGGGGTGCACTATGGTTAGTCATGTCGGCTGGGCGGGGTTCTTGCCTCACTACTGTTCCCTGCGCTATAGCAGAGAAAAGTCATGCCTGCCAAACATCTTAACGGACGGACACACAACAATTCAAAAAAAAGCAGTTACAAAAAAAAAGCTGAAAAAGAAACGTTAAGATCAAATATTTAAAATAAACTGGAAATCTACAAAAAGAAAGTCTAAACTAAAAATCAAAATAAAAAGAAATGATCAAAACTAAAAAAAACTATGGCCGAATTAGAGGCACCACCGCTGGCATTATGGTGCCTGGTGCTGGCCCACCCTCAACCGTGGCTGCTGGCGCACCCCAATATCAGCAGCCCCATTATAAAGTCCCGGATGTGCCTTCCTAAATAAAAAGGTTAGTCAGCATTCCCATTTTATATTATAATTTTATTCACAACAATTTATTTTCCTTATATCTAATTCCTAAAGCTAATCATTCTAACATTAAGTCCTAATCACTAAAACTGGTAAGTATATGTATTTACTTAAGCAACTAGGTAGGTGTGTCTTTTAGATCTAAGGTAAGTATAAAGAAACGGAGGTAAGTTAGGTAGTGAAGTAGATTCAATTCAGGTAAGTAAAGTAAGTTGTAAGGTAATATTAAAGTAAGTATGTATCATACGATTTTAAGGCGCTAAAATCTAAGTTCAAGTAAAGTTAATGGTAGAGGTAAGTAAGCCAAAGTCAGTTCCCTATATTTATATAATAACTATTTTTCTTTTTGTTTTAGGTTCTTTTATTATTAGTATTATCATTAGGGTTCATATCAATTCCTTTGTTATAAGTGGTCATTCTTTTGTTATTTCTAAATGTTTATTTATTTAAAATTTTTGTCGTCGAAACTCGGATCAAATTTTTACTTTAGGTAATTTTATATTGGGTTATTTTAGTTGTATAACTTCCATTTTAATGTATTAAAACTGACGTTTATTTATTTCAAAATATGTTATTGTAAATTTTTCAGATGGTAGGTTACCTTATTCGTTTACTTTAGTTAATATTATTTAATTTTAATTAACCTGGTTAGTTTTTCCCTTTTTTATTTAATTTAATTGAATTAGTTTTCTTTATCCTCGATTAATTGTATTTAATTTGATTCTATTTGGTTTTGGATTAGTTTAATTTAATTATATTTTAGTTAATTATTTGATTTGATCCTACTTGAGTTTACTGTTGTTATTTATTCAAAATTTATATACATGTTTCTTGTGTTTTTATTTATTTTTTTTATTTGGTTTATTCAGGGTGATTTTGTTCGTAGGCCTAACTCCTTATTTACTGTATATTTGCATATATATGTAGGTACGTATAAATGGGGGTGTATATGTAAATTTATTATCTTATATTTTTTTTCTCCTTTTAATGTTGTTTCTTATGTTCATACATATTTTCCTACTTTATTAATTTACTTATTTTCTATCACGAATATTCTTAAAAATTTTTTTTTAATGATTATGTTCCGTTTAAATTTTGGTTTTACTTCTGATTTCCCCTAACTATTAATTTGGGTTCTCGGGGTTTTACCCTTTTCTTTTTGGTTTGAAATAAGTTTTTATTTTTTTTTTTTTAATGAATGGAAAAGTTAATGAAGACCCGAAGGACTCACCCTACTGTTGCAGCAGGCCAGTGTTATGTGCCCGGCTGTTGTTGTTGCTTCGCCGCTACTGTGTTCTGGCCGGTGCTGTGCATGTGTTATCGTATGTGCCGGCAACGATCTTGCTTTACCGGTGCGATGCCGGTGCTATTTCGATGACTCACCGGTGCTGTGCCCTTGGTGGCTGACTTAGTGGTACTGTGGTGTGGTTGGTGATGTACCACCACCGATATTGCTTCACCGGGGCTGAGCCTGCTGGTTGTTGACTTTCCGATGTTGTGCTGGTTCTGCGGTTGTGGTAGACTCACCGGTGTTCTGCCGATGTCGTTGTGCTTGCTCCTCGATGCTGTTGTGGTAACCGGTGGTTGATTCACCGGTGCTGTGCCGGCAACGGTGACTTACCGGTTGTTGTTGTGGCCGGTTGCGGAGTTACCGGTGCTGTTGTGCTGCCGGTGCTGGTGACTTGAATCACCGGTGCTGTGCCGGCAACGTAGTTGCTTCACCGGTGCGATGCCGGTGCTATTGCGATGAATCACCGGTCCTGCGCCCTTGGTGGCTGACCTAGTGGTGCTGTGGTGTGGTTGGTGATGTACCACCACCGATATTGCTTCACCGGGGCTGAGCCTGCCGGCTGTTGACTTACCGATGCTGTGCTGGTTCTACGGTTGTAGTAGACTCACCGGTGTTGTGCCGATGTCGTTGTGCTTACTCCTCGATGCTGTTGTGGTAACCGGTGCTTGATTCACCGGTGCTGTGCCGGCAACCAGCAACGTAGTTGCTTCACCGGTGCTGTGCCGGCAACCAGCCACGTAGTTGCTTCACCGGTGTTGTGCCGGCTGTGGAATTATCGGTGTTGTTGACTTACCGGTTGCTGTTGTGGCCGGTTTTGGTTGTCGTAGTCGGTGCTGTGCGGGCAACGTTGTTTCTTCACCGGTGCTGAGCTCTTGCCGGTGCTGTGCCGGCTACGTTGTTGCTTACCGGGGCTGTGCCATGATTTTGCTGAAAATGAAAAGAAGGAAACATGGTCATCACTATGGGAGTTTACTGTAGGGCCCTCCAGGGGGGCCTTTTTTATCTGAATTGGTCACTTTAACAATGTTGTTACAAATAGTATTTAGCAATTTTGTTGTTAAATTACCTTCACTACTACCACGAATTTTTTTGTATCCAAAATGTCACTTATCAGGTATATTTTGTGCGATACACTATATTTACGAGGTTGACGTGCGTATATAGTACCTTTAGCACATGTCTAAACAATTATTTTAGTAAAACGCGTTTCTAAATGTGTAACAACTTTTAGCACTTTCCACAAACACTCAGAAATAAGAAACAACAATGGCCGACTGTGAGGTTGCCATCGGGTTTTTATACCCTTGCACTGCGGGAATATTCCATTTGGAAGAATAACGGGCACTGCGTCATTTGGGCTAGTTCCGTTACTCTTCCAAGTGGAATTTGCCGCAGTGCAAGGAGGAATATCAAAAAAAATCCGGGGTTGGCGTAACTCCTCTGCCAGTATTTTTACCGAACTTAACCGCAAAAAAAAATCTTTTAAAATTGCTAGTTTATAAATTTGACAGTTTTGTGGTGAATACGAACGTCAGAATTATATCTAGCTCATGTGCTAGGTAAATTTTGACAGCTTCTAAGTGTAAGCGGCTTTATCGTGAGTTTCATTTTTTTCCGAAGCGGTTCATTTTTCAACTTTTGGATTCTATGTATGGACGGATGAACAATTTTCGGGCGAAACTCAGGATAAGGCAGAATATGGTGGGCGGTTATAAAGAATGAAAATCAAAATGGAATCTGATAAAAACAAAAGAACGTGCGTTACTTACAAGTTATAAAAATAGAGGTAAATTTGACAATTTCAGTAACACACGTATGTCAAAATATGAATAATGTAGCCGCCCGAAAGTTTTGTGTGCAAGGAAAACGTAGCTGTCAAACCAGTAAGTTACCGCAATAGATGCCAAGATATAAGCCCTGGCATATATTGTCCTCACATTCTAGCCTATGCGTCAAGTTAAAAATTCCATCCTGTGAAGGCGGGCATTTACAGACAGCTGTCACAAACTATCACCAGCCTCCGCTGAAAAGCGCTTATTAACCGAAAATTCTACCTTCGACTCGACTGTCATCGATATTAATAATGATGTCCTTATGAATCGCTTCTTGGTGAAATGCACCATTGAATTTCAAAGTAAGAAATAATATGGCAGTTTACAAATAGTAGGCAACCAGACTCGCAGGAGCTAGTGACAATCAGCGACAACTGTCCACAAGGAACACAGCTATCTTCAAAATGGCAGACCTTCCATGCGGTTTTAGCGTTGCCGTACATTCTAGAAAAATATGAGATGGTGAAATTTCTGACATGCTACCGGGTGCGCTATATGCCGAAGAATAAAGTGTTTATATTTTGTGCGGCGAACAGTAACCCATAACAGAACTTATGTATCCACATAGAATCCACAGAAAGGTTGTTGAAGTTTTCCATTGACAAAGGTTGGGTTATTTGGTGAATGGACATGCGGTAATTAGGTAAGCGTGCTGAAAAGGTTTCGTGAGTATATAGCATGCATACGTCTCAATACTTGTTTTCTCACATTATTTATAATCCTTTAATTTCAGATACTGCCGCACCTTTTACCGCGTATGAAAAATATTTTGAGTTGTCACAAAGCAAATAAAAGTAATACACGATCAAGTGTGTATAGTTTGAAAATTAAAGGCGAAGCGTTCATAACGAAATCGTTTGCTGCATACGAAACACGACCTGTCTGTGATGCCCTTTGTTGAATTTAGCTGCTTTGATCCAATGAATTCGCCTGCGCCCTGCCATTACAACAGTGACGCGAACATTAAGATTTCGCATTGCAATCGCAACAGTAGCCGCTGCAACATACGCTACCTGGAGCAGCACCATCTTTGCAACCCCTAAAAATAGCGTTGCAACCGCTTAAACAAATGTGCCTGCAGCAATAGCAATGCGAACAAACATTCCACAACAACCACATCAGCCACTGTCTTCTCGCTCGATTTGGCAGTACATACAGAAATTTACTTGACAACGAATTTCGTAACTTACAATGAGGAAAATTTTCGTTCCTACGAGACTACTATAAGTGGACTGATTTGGTCCGTTTTCACATGGAATACCTATAGCGATAAGATACAAATTTACAAACTGCCAGAAAACAGCACTTATATATGTGCATTGCTTGAGCGTTCTTCGCTACGGACGGCGATATTCCTAGGTTAGTAATTTTGTACATATAAATATATGTACATGCATATGAACTCAATATAACTAGGTACATACATATGCATGTACATGTGATTGTATATCTCTTATTTAAGATGCGATACAAAACTGCAGTAATCGCTTGGCTTTTGCATAATGGCTAACTCAAGGGAAATCAGGCAGGCGAGACCAAAAGGAATTTGAAATAGAGTTCACAAGGGAATTTTCATGTGGAACTAACATCTTATGCCTCTAATGCAAAAATCAGATTAGTATCTAACGAATAACAAATAATAATATGCCCCTCCGGTGGCCTGAAATTACAATCAAATTTCGAGTATGTAATTGGATTTTGTATGTGAACGGAGGGGTTTCCATAATGGTGTTGAGTTTTATATGCTGCATCCAATAGTCTGTGGGTAAGGATGTTCCCTTTACGCT